AAATACAAGTAACGCAACTTGCACTACAAAGACAGGTCCACCGAATAAAGTTACACGTCCTAGCACAGTTAAAAAACACAAATCTCCTTCTTCACATAAACACACCACGTTATCACAACCCACTCGTATTCAACCCAAACGCAAAGCCAAAGAAACACTTACACAATAAACTCTATTTAATAAAATTCCAGGAATTATTATAATGATATTTTTGTTTTGTTTTCTTCTTTCCTGATAGCGTTGACTAGTGGGGCCATTAATAGCTATGTTGGTAAGTATTGAATTACATACTATCTCTAGATTTCCAATGTGAGTGTGTGAATATTTATTTTATTTTTTATTTTTCTTTAGAACCCTACATAACTTCACCAGACACAGACACAGACACTAATCGTTACTTGATATTAATCCGTGCGATTAGTTAACCAGGCTAGACCTGAGTTCTCACAAGAAACACCGACAATAATAATATTTCTTTATTAAGGGGTAGGAAAAGCTTTGCAGCCATCAATCCCCCCTCTACAAGCTTACATAACAAGTGGCATTCTACACCAAAAAATACAATAATATAGCGATAGAAGAAAGCAAAACAAACAATAAAAGAAGAATGAAAGAGTAGTAAAGAATCTATCAAAAATTTGTGACATCATTTTTTATGATATTTAAACACACTCGAGTAAAAGTAAAAGTCTCTCCAATCAATTGTACACTCACTGGTAAATTGTTCCATAGTTTTGCCGCCTGCACATAAAACGATCTATATTCCACTTTTGTGTTAACTTTGGGTATACAAAGATTGTTGAAAACTTTGAAGAGTGTTAAATTGTTCACATAAGTAAATTGGTTTTTTATTCACAATGATCAATTTATGTAAAAAGCACAGGATGTTAAATAAGCGCATCTTTTCCATATTCAGCATATTCAGATCAACAAGTGCTGGTGTTATACGAATTACGATCATATTTACGTATGTTGCAGACGTAACGGACACAATAATTTTGAACTTTTTGTATTTTAACGGATAGGCTTTTATTTAGTCCATGATAACACACATCGCCGTAGCTCAGTAAAGGTAATATTAGTTGTTTTATTAATTTTAGTTTAATTTCCTTTGATAGCGCGTCTTTAGATCTATATAAGTTTTTTAATTTATAGTACGATTTAGTTAGTATATAGTTCACATGCAGTTCCCAGCTCAAGTTTTGATCTAAAACCATACCTATGATCTTCATGTATGTATCATACTCAACTTTAGTTCCAGACACCTCTACTGTATGTGTTACTTCGGAGACAAATTTTTTAATTTGTCCAGTAGTACCTATCGGCATTAATACAGTTTTACAGGGGTTAAGCTTAAGGTGGTTTGCAGTTGCCCACTTGGTGATAATGTCTAGGTCTTCGTTCAAATCATCTATACGTTGATTAATAGTTTCAACACTGGCATGTATTAATAGCTGTATATCATCCGCGTAGAGGTGAACAGCAACATGTTGGAGAAAACGATGTAAGTCACTAACATATATATTGAACAACAATGGGCCCACAATACTTCCTTGAGGAACTCCACAGTCGACACGTAGCATATTTGAGATCAGTGTACCGTTAGGGGCGTTTATTTTAGTTTGTTGTGTTCTGTTCCTCAGGTAATTTTCAAGCCAGTTTGTGCTATATTTCGAAAACCCTAAGTATTTAATCTTACCTATTCAGAAGTCTGGTGTGGTTGACGGTATCAAAGGCTTTTGAAAAATCCAAAGAGCCTAGTAAAAATTAAGTAAGGAATTAAATGCGTAGCACAAGGGAATAAACTCAAGAATAAACTAATCGCAATTTTAGAATTTGACGTACATACGTCTACTACGTTGATGTTACAAGAAGATTAGACTACTACGAAAGCAAAACGTAACATGCGATTTGCTTTCTAATATATGGTAGATCTTATGAGAAAGCAAATCACACGGGTGCGTTTTGTTTTCCGTTACATTTTGCCATAAGTGAGCGAAATGGTCAATTTTCAAGTAAACATAATTGTACGACATATGTCATTTTCAATGAAAGTCGTAGGAAAAATACTTGAGGAATCTATTTCAAATACAAAATATAAAATAGTTTATTTAAAATACAAAATAGTATTTTGCATTTACGAAATCTACATGAAAATCAACGTCGTTTGATACCACATTTTCCTATACTATACCTAGCATCAAAGATTTTCAAGTTATTCAACATTTTTGACGTTTGACCCATGGCTCTGTTGACTTGAATTTCAAAAAGTCTTCCAAAATCAACAATACTGATGTGATGCTACATGCGAATGATTTAAATTTGAAACCTGCTTTATTTTTTTGCACTTTCAAATGTCGAAAAAATGTCTACATCTCTATACCTATCTGTAATGGTTTTCGTTTTATTTAAGATTTGTGACCGTTAGATGCATAATTTTCTTAGGAGACAAATCTTTTTATTGTTATAAAATTGTTATCATTCGTTCTTCATGGTAGTTTATACCACTGAGTATGAAAAAATTTTATTTACTTTAATGAATATAAATTTAAATAAAGATGAAATCAAAAACAGAAGCAGGCCATGATAACAAATGACAGAATAAAAAACAAACATCAATTGAGGTTTTGTTCTACGTGGTGACCGTTTTTTCCAACACGTGGTGACCGTTTTTTCCAACACATAGGTAATGGCATCCTCTGATTACTTAACTCCGTTGATAGTCGCCTGTCGAATTTCTACTCCATTTCATCAAAAGCTCTTCTCAATCTAACTTGCAGTCCTTCACGAGAAACAACTGATGTAAGTTTTTTTATAAGACCCCACACATAAAAGTCCAGTGGCGGTATATATATCTATATCTATCTAGAAGACCAATAGCGCGGATCTGTAGGCCTAATCCATCTGTCTTCAAAAATGTTCAAATACATATTTATAAGCATCATGTGTAGAATGAGCCGGGCGCTGCATCAAGTTCAGAAAATCTTAAATTAAAAAATCAACTTTTTAAGGTTCTAAGTTATTAAACATGACCATTAACTTTAAAACACCCTGTAGAAGGGCGATCAAAATTTAAATCATTCGCATGTAACATCACGTCAATATTGTTGATTTTGGAAGACTTTTTGAAATTCAAGCAACGGAGCCATTTCGATTTCGAAAATGCAATAAAATATAGGGTGTTCTATTTAAAATAAGAAAGTTGCTATCCACTTCCGGTTGTATTGTATGCTAATTTTCAGATTTAAATTATTAACGCAAGTCTAAATACTTATAGGTATCGATTTGCGTGAAATAGCCTGTATAGTCGGGTCTTGTTTTGCGAAAATCCAAATGCAAGAAGCATTAATGAAACAATTGAGTTAAAACCTTTGCTCCCCTAATTCGACCTCGTGATTTATACCTATAACTCGTAGGTGAAACTGCTCCAAAAAAATTGTTTTTTAATGTTTTTTTGTATGAATTTTTAGGAATAATTAATCATTTATTATGTTGAGGAATCTGAAAATATAGCACAACTAAATCCCAGACCACTGTTGAAAAATTTTATTAGCTTTACGGACTACTTTCAAAACTTAGAAGTTGATTCATCGGCGATATTTACACCCTTTCCGCTATAGTGTAAACCATTATTGTTTTTGAATTTACCGCAAAATTAAACAAGTAACACACTCACAAATTCGCTTCATTGCTTGTGTATTTATTGCACTTATGTCAGATGCTCTTTTGTGACACAAGCTATCAACTTCATCCCCTACGCAAATCCATTTAAATCGAGTTTTCTCTGGAACTACTGATCTAATTTGAAAAATAAAAACAGTTCTGAAAACAGGATGGACATTCCTTTCGAACTATCTAACATTTAGCACCCCTTCCCATTTAAAAATCAATCATAGTAACTGTAGAAATTTAAACAAAAACAAAAGAGTTTTTCAAATAATAATAATTGCACAAATGTTAAGAGTTTTTATTCGATGTAACGATAATACATAGGAAGCAAGTGGAATGAATTTAAATTTTCCTTAAGTTATAATAGTGATTTCTGTAACTGCTTTTCATCTGTTTTCGACGTTTCCTGTTGTAAATTTTTTGTTTAAATTTTCACAGCTACTGCGATTGGTTCTAAACTACTACTGTAGCTTTAATTTCTAAGGTAATTATAACATATTTGATATTGCAAAGAGAATTTTAGGCTCTTTAAAAATATTACAAATACAAAAAACAAATTTGTTTTCTGATGCTCTTTTGTTTTTATATCACTTGTTTTTTTTAACGCGACACGCAAAATCAATCACATTGTAAGTACGTAAAAAGCAGTAGGTATTTATGATCTTATTCTATTTACATCTGAAATAAAATTGCATTTCTAACCAGGGGCGGTCTGGCCCGGGGGGGCGGGGGGCGATTGCCACCTGGCCTGTACGTCATAATGGCCCGTTGGAAATTTATAAGTATGTGCTGTATTTAGTTTCTTGCACTATTAATAAATTATTAACATGTTTCTCTAATTGGGGTTGATGTTAGGTTGTTAAACAATTCTGTTTTAGTTGAAATGTTTTACAATGAATTTATCATTTATTGTCGTAGCATGAAAGTGCTGAAATACAATGATAGGCGACGCGCCTCGTTTGGATTGTATATTTTGTTACTTTTAATTATCAGCTGCAATTAAAAAAAAAAACGGTATTGTAATTGATTTCCGAAAAAGGAGTACTAAAATGAAGCAAAAAAATGTTTTTGTGGTGCACCGCAGAGCTACCCCCCACCCCCCATGCAATTCCACCTGGCCCGTAAGTACCCAGTCCGCCCCTGTTTGTAACCACGATTGTTACTTTATATTGCTAATTCCCTTTTAGCTTCCTTACGGTTAAATAAAATAACAACTTGGGCGTAATAAATGAAAGAAATTAACATCGATTTAATGAATAGTATCACGTGCGCAAACTTCTCAAATGAAAATTCATGCAAACGCTTTTAATTGAAGTAAATAAAAGTACTTATTTGAATTAAAATTATCCTTTATTAAAAAAATCACATAGATAAACCTAAGATAATATCTCATTATTCAATTTTGGGCACATGTCTCCAAAAATCATACCCAGAATTAATGCAGAGACGTCTTGGTTATCTGCAAATATAAAATTCGAACAGTATGTAAATTATTTGAACACTCTTAGGTAGCTAACTCTGTTTCTCCTTTTTCACCAAATTTCGTTATCCAAATGCATGCAAGCGGCAGGTTCATCATCGAGTAGTTTACAAGCGATGGTTAAAAAGTTGTCGTTGTACTCTTCCAATGTGTCATTATAGTAATTATTGTATAACACAGTCGGTACTCCGTCTATTGATGGTTGTACAGCATCCGTTTTCACCCCATTTGCTACCATTAGCTCGTCGCCCTCTTGGCCCTCTGCACATTTAATGATATCAGCCGTGTTCACGTTTAATAAGGGACCACACTAAAGGTACATAATACAATTAGGTCACGATATACGTCATAATTACTTTCTTAGTTATTCGCTTGTAATTGGAATCGTCAGTCTTAATTCCCTTTTCGATGCAATGCACAAACGAAATGACAGCATTTTGATCAACATTTCGTGCCATACCGCAGGCCTCTATTTTATTGTAGACGCATTCTTTGGGACCATGCTGACATTCTATAGTCCATCCGTTGTCGGTTTTTTTTCTCTGCAAGATATAACGATTGACATTATAGGTACTATTTGATGTGCGTATGCAGGTTTAGATTATTCGGGGTCCGTTAACTTGGCCCCCCCACTGAGAGATTTGATAGTCGTATTATTTTAAAATGAATTCGCTCGTTATGCGCTAATAAGCGCCACCGATAATAACTCTTGCGCCATTATCGTTTTTTAGAAATTCGAAAAAACATTTGGGGGGGCCAAGTGAACGTAGCCCCCCCCC